AAAGAGAACAGAGAACAGCACGGGAGGGGAGGGAGAGAACTGAGGACAGAAGGTGAGGGGAAGAGGAGTAAGGACAAGTGAAGAGGAGGAAGGACAGGGGAAGGCAAGTGGGGAAGGGAAGGGGGAAGAAGGGCCCTTCCCCAGGCCGGCCTCGAGAGCGGCCGGAGGCCCCGAGCCCGCGCCGGGATGGGCTGCCGGGCGCACCTTACGCTTGCGGGCCTCGGCCGTGCCGCTCCACACGAAACACTGGTAGATGGCCCGCAGGTTCTGCTTCCAGTTGTCCACCTTGAAGCTGCCCAGGTGCGAGCAGCCCGCCGGCGCTACCGCCAGCTCGGCGTCCATGGCCTCGCCCTCGGGCTCTGGCCGGGACACCATGGGGGGCAAGGCCCGGCCGCGCGCGGGAGGCGGCGGCGAAGGGGGCGAGGAAGACGCCAGCGTGGCGTGGGGGCTGCCCGGCGGTGGGCCTGGCCGGCCAAGGCACGGGAGCCAAGAACAAAGCGCGCAGGCCGGACAAAGATGAGGCTGGCGATCGCCAGGGGAGGCTGCAGGGCAGGCACCGCCCCCGAGCTGCGGCTGCAGCGGGCCGCCTGCGCAGCGCTCTCCCGGTTCGCGGAGGGCGTCGCGGGGCGGGGCGCCGCGGCGGAGGACGGAGATTACGTCACCCCCGGCCGGCACCGCACTGCGCAGTCTCCAGTCCGCGCCAGGCCCCTTCCCCCACTCCTCTCGCGGGTCCGCCGGCTCGGGGTAGACCCGCGCCCAGGGAAGCGTGGGCCCGGGAGCTAACGAGGGCCCGCCTTCTCCCCTCCTCTATTGGTCGCCGGCCCGCCGCAGCACCTTCGGCCATTGTCATAGGCTCTCAGTACAGTTTGTCTGGTTCAGAGCCGCCCCCTAGGACCCTGGCGACTACACGTTCCCTGTCTCCTCCCGAGGACTGGGGAGGTGGGGGCGTGCTGCGGTTGGGCGTTGCTAGACGTTGGTCGCAGCACTGAACCGGTTTGCGCCGGCCGGAGCTCTGCCGCAAAGAGGCGGGGCGACGAGTTGGGGTGCTGCGGGTCGGGCCTCCATCCAGGGCCTGCGCGTTCCCACCCAACGGCAGCTCTTACTGGGGAACTGTCTGCAGGGGCCCCGGTTGCCCTAACCTGGGTGGGGCCGTTCAGTGACCGTCGCTCGGGGCTGAAACTGCCAGCTTGCCTGCTGGGCACCTCTGGTCCAGAGCGGGTGGATAGTGAGGGCCATCCCGTTGCCATCCAGTTTAAAGAGGATGCACGCCACACTCCTGACTTCACATTTGCTAATGGCTACATTATTCTAATGAAAAAAAAATTATAAGCATATACCTTAGCCCAATAGAGTCAAAATATTTCAACATGTACGCAAGTATTGCAAAATTGTTAGTGGAATATTTTATGCACGAAGTCTTCGAAATCTGGTATTTACACTTAACAGCGCATCCAATTCCTAAGGCTACCACAGTGGGCAACACAGGTCTAATCGGTATACGAATAACTGTCCCAGGGCAAACTGAAAAGACCTTTAAAGACAGTACAAACAATGTTCTGTGGGACCCAGGGCGCAACGGTCTGGGGGAACTGGGATGAGGTCCCTATACTCATCCCGCTGCTAACTGCTTTGTTCATTCATCCACATATTGCAGGAAACAGCATTTGAGGTCCAGGGCCGTCGCAAGTTAAAAAATAAAGATTGTGATCTCACAGCAGGGTTTAATGGGCTGATGACTGGAATAAAGCTCTTGTGGTCAAGATTTATCGCCGCTCACAGGTTTTTGCTTCATGACCTTTGTGCTTGCGGTACCCTCTGCCTAAGATGCTATCCGCACACCTTTACCCCACCATCCTTATATTCCATGGCTGATGCTCGCTAACCTCCGTCACAAACCTCCTTTTCCGTGAGGGCTTCCACTGCCACCCTAATGAAAACTGCAAGCCCCCCAAAATTCCCCATTCCCTTACCCTGCTTTGTTTTTCTCCAAAGAATGTACAGTATCACTATCTGGTGTAATGAATCTTTTTTATTGTCTCTTCCCTCAATAGCATGAAAAACTTCAAGAGGGTCTTTTTTTTTTTTTTTTTTTTTTTTTTAAAATTTTTAAAAGGGTTTTTTTTTTTTTTTTTTTTTTTCTGAGACATGAGTCTCGCTTTGTTGTCCAGGCTGGAGTACAGTGGTGCAATCTCCACTCACTGAAATCTCCACCTCCCGGGTTCAAACGATTCTCCTGCTTCAGCCTCCCCAGTAGCTGCGATTACAGATGCCCACTACCACCCCCCGCTAATTTTTTGTATTTGTAGTAGAGAGAGGCTTTCACCATGTTGGTCTGAAACTTTTACTAGAGATGGGGTTTCGCCAGGCTGATCTCGAACTTCTGATCAAAAGTCATCCACCCGCCTCAGCCTCCCAAAGTGCTGGGATTACAGGCCTAAGCCACTGCACCCTGCCTCCAAGAGGGTAATGAAATTTTTGTGTTTTATTTACTACTACAGCCACGAATTCCCAGAACTGTATTGGCTACATGCAGGTACTCAGAAGTATGTGGTGAAGCCCCGTGGTAGTCCCAGCTACTCCAGAGACTAAGACAAGAGGATCGCAGGTCAAGCCTGCAGTGAACTGTGATTGCGCCACTACACTCCAGCCTGGGCAACAAAGCAAGACCCCATCTCTTAAAAAAAAAAAAAAAAAAAAAAAAAAAAAAAACCAGAAACCTGCCGAATTAATTAACCCCCAACACGTTTACAGAAAAATCTAACAAGACCATTTCTAGAATAAAACACTTGTTAAAGAAAACCATGTTTATGTTACAGGAAAGAATGTCAGCTTACTAAAAAGTAAAATCATAATAAGTCAGGAATTACAAAAATGTGTGATCCACCTCTATATTGATGTAGGGAGTTTTCACATATTGTTGGGTTTACAGAAATATGATTTGGTTTCAAGAATGTGTATTAGCATTCAAGCCCTCATATTTATAGCATTTTTAATCAATATGGCCATCTAACCACGAATAATGTGCTGTCCACTTAAATCAATTATAGTGATTTAAATAAATGATCCACAATCAGGACAAGCTTATTGATGTTTAAAAATTTAAACTACAGGGCCGGGCGCGGTGGCTCAAGCCTGTAATCCCAGCACTTTGGGAGGCCGAGGCGGGTGGATCACGAGGTCAAGAGATCGAGACCATCCTG